GAAAAACTTCTCTTTTCCTTGTCACTGTGACCTAATCTTTCTTTCTTAAACCATCAAGAAAAGCCACATTCGATTAGCCACCGTTTACTGATTTCTTTTTTTCCCATCGTGTATTTTGATTGGATGATAGCCGTTCACAATCACATAAAATGTGTCCAATGGTCATTTCTAAATTTTTATTTATTTCGCACACACCTCTGAGACCAGACTGTGCGTCAAATAAAAATCATAGTGCCAGAAAATGTTTTTTTTCTTCTTCAATGATTTGCATGTGGGCGGATTATTGTCAGGTTGCCCAGACGAAGACAGACAGGTAAATTTTCCTGAGGAATTCACAGCTGGAGCGGAGCTTTCGGCTAGCCAAAGCGTGACCGGCAAAGCGGCGCGGGGCGGTTTGTGAAAACCACAATCCAATCGGGGTCCGGTGTCCATTTCATCGGATCATACACACCCTCCGGACGTGGTCAAACATGCAAGGTGCCCAGTCGAGCCGGTTACCACTACCACGATCAGGAAATTGTGTCCGTGATTCGTATGCTTTTTCTTGGTTGATTCGGAATCAGGGTTTTTAGCCAATTCCTCTAGGTTAACTGCCAGTGGTTCACCGGCCCGGATACTGGCTTTCATCAAGTCAAGTCAAGTCAAGCTTTATGTACCCAATAGGATGAATTTTCACCAATTTCAACAAGTTACAACGAGGAAAGCGTTAAGCATTGAGAAAGAAGAAGCAATTTGCATTTATGAAATTTAAAAAAAAACTGATGTAATAAATCCTAATGTGACGGGTGATTATTCAAATCAGTAATACTATTTGCTCGGTTGATCAAGATGCGAGCAAAATAAGGGATCATGCTGTTTTTTATTTATGTGATGGTGTGTGCCCAAAGAATCCGAAATTTCGAACGCGTACTCGGATGAGATACCGATTTATTGAGATGGGCATGCAGGCAATATTCTGCATTTGATAGTATATGGCTGACGAATTTATCATTATTGTATTATAGATGACGTGTGCAGGCAACTATGCCTACATCTCAGCCAACAATGTGTCCACCGTTACAATGGGATAGAAAATGGATTCAAAATTCGCAAAGAACAATGATAAAACTAAATAAGTGTTCCTCTTTGTAGATTTAAGATTCGTTACGTTACTGATCTTCGCCGCGTCAGATGGGGAACCGTTGAACCGTTGCGATAAATGTTTATGCGGGACGGTAAGCAGCGAAAATTGGATCGGGTTGTAGCGTGTGGGAACGGCAAGCAGATAAATCGAGATTGAGCGGATGACTGGGTTCATCGAGTATCTTATGACCAAAATTCTCACATGAAGTGATATGCAAATTACACAATTTTGTGGTCTGAGTGTTTAAAGGAATAAGATAACTACCAGACCTCGATGTAGAGTAATGAAATCCGTTTTAAGTAGTTCGGGGGAAAATAATGGGCGAACAATAAAGTGTGACAGGAAAAATGCATTGATCAACAAAGGAACATACAGTTTCATGTCTGACGCAAAATTGACGAAGCTTGCGCACTTGAAAAGATAAGCGACGCAGTCTACCAACCCAAGCAAGCACACGAGAGGACCACCGTAGGAATGCTTAAAAAGGGCATTCAAAGCATTTCGAAGTATTCGACAAGAGACCGGATTGGTTAGAGAATGACTTCACTTGTAGTAAATTGTCGGAAAATGATTCTGCGTCCGATTGGTTTGAAATGGCTTGACATAAAACAACATCATCTGTTTACCTAAAGGTCTTGACTGGTGGGATTGAGGGTAAGTCACTGATGAAAGTTGAAAATAAGAAGGGAGAAAACACAGCCCCCCCCCCCGAAAGGATTCCAGAATTATTCACGAACGGTTTTGAAATGGTGCTGTTTCCTTTTCGTTCTTTGAATCCTTCCTGCGAAATGATCTTTCAACCATGAGAATACGTTGATGAGGCAACCGAATGACTGTAACTTTTGCAGAAGAAGAGAATCATTAAAAAATTTGCAAATAAAGTGAATCGCTGAAGAGACGGCATCTAAGGTGCATCTATTTGGCTTGTACGCAAACCGGAGGGGGTCATTAGGAACAATAATACCAGACTGTAAGGGAGTGAGAATAGCGCGCTCTGCAAAGCTTAAGTCCAGAAGAAGTGATGGCAATAGGACGAAAGCGTTTAGATAAATTGCTAGAGGAAGAGGGTTTAGGAGTAGGAACAATGATGAACGGTCTTCAGTAATCCGGAATCAAAAATGTGTAAAAGGATTGATTAATAAAGGACATAAGCATCTCTTTGACGGAGCTGGCACAATATTTGAGCAATGATGAAGAGGGACCATCGGGACCAACTGCGTTCGTGATTTCCGTAGTTTTGAGAAGATAATAGACCTCCTCGTGGGTGACTGGGTCAATGGTAGATGGCATGAATCAAAATGCTTGCTCACGACAAAGTCAACCGAAACGGTCTGTGAAATGCCGCAGCAACGGGAAAGTAGTTTCAGAGATCTGCAAAAGAGAATAAAATCTTTCCCCTTTAGACCAGAAAAATATACGGGGGAACAGTACAACCAATGTGGAAGAATGCATGCAGTCACAAATTCAAGAAATATACATTTAGGGGAACACCGAGCTTTTGAAACCTAAAGGCGTAGAAGGATAGCCTACGAGCCGTCATATAAATGTTTTCAACATGTTTGGTTCAAGAAAGATTATTTGACAACGTAACTCCAAGATAGTTCACAAAGTTAGCTTTGGGGATGGTATTACCATTAACAGAAAGTTCAGGCTGATTGCTCAAAAGGGTTTGACAAGGCATGCTTTTGTTAAGGCTAAAAGAAACATCCACACATTTAGCAATAAAGGTCGGGGAGTCGACCAACTAAAAATGTTATTTAGACAAACTTGAAGTTGACAGAAACAATCAGGATCAGTCAAGGGACAACCGACCACTACGTCATCAGCATACTTGCAGGCGATAAAATTGGGAGAGATGGGAAGGTTTTTAATAAACAGTGAAAAAAAGAAATGCGGACAGAATAGCACCCTAAAAAACTCCAAAGTTAACTTCTAGAAGGGAGGAAGATCTACTGGTACAAAAAGTGTATTGCGTCTGATAAGTGAAATAATTCATTGGTACATTGAACAAATTAGTTGCCAGATCACAATCCGAAAGACGTTGAATGAGAATGCTACGGTCAAGTGATCCGAAAGCATGAGCATAATCAAGGAAAGCTAAGCGGACGATGTCAGCTCCTTTATCCAACAAGGATGAAACGGAGTGAACAACGCAAGCGACAGCATTAAGAGTGGAAAGCGAATGTTTGTAAGCAAATTGCATAGGATCATGGGTAACAGATTGAAGGGTCAGTCGGTTAAGAAGGACTCTTTCGAAAACTTCCAATAATACTGATGTGCAAGCAATCGGTCGATATTTAGAAGATCCTTTTTTGGCTAATTGGTGTCATCCGAGCAGCTCTCCAACAATTCGAGATGTTTCCGGATGACACACAAGATGAACCACTCTGAAATAGGTGAAGCAAGTTGTTCAGTACACTCTTTCATCAGAAAGGAGAACAGTGAATCAGGACCATGTGCCTTGTTAGATTTAAGGGACTTCAGTACATTCAGAACTTCCACAGGGGTGACGGATTGGTTCTCCCCCAACAGGGTGGTGTTGAGTTCCGTACCGTAACATTTGCGAATTGACGGTTTAATTCCTCAACATTCGGAAAAGAGCTGCTTTAAAGCAAACCACATCACGGAAGTTCAGGTTTCCCATATGACTTTCTATGTATAAATCCGACTTAGGCGCTGTATTTCCATGTTGATTAATAATGATAGATGTTTGACAGCACTGCTCCTTCCAGTCCTGGAAACCTTTTCTTTATCACAACAAAGCTGTTTTAGAAGAGGCGAAGAAAATCTGTCAGTCCGAATATGTGAAGTCTTAACTGGGCAACACAGATCATAGCCAAAATTAAGATAACATGTAAGATGTTCACAACTGAAAGAGTTATTAGCATTGGAAAATACAGTGAAATTGGTAAAAGAAGAAACCGTATCTCTAAGGTTGGATAAGTTTTCAGGAGTGCCACTTCTCCTTTTCATTTTAATAGGGAAACATCACCACCACGAAAAGGCAGTTAGGAAAGCTTCCTCAGCCGGAAGCTATTTGAGACGCTTAGGTCGGAACATTTCACAAAGCGCAAGGGACGGATAATCAACCCTAGATACCCATCGCTGACCATGATGAAGAGTTTGAAAGCAAAAGACACTTATTGTATGAAACCAAAATTAGACTATATCAGTCCACAACTAGAGTGAATGCAGTTTTACAAATTATTCTCTTCGTTCCCAATGTTATCGCAAAAAATTCTCGTTCAATTCATCATTTTGTTTTTTCTTTCATAATCCGGTTACTATTGTTGCTCTTTCACTGTACCCCAGACGTGTACTTTTATCCACAAAAACTGTATGAACACCGCATAGACGCTTGTACCTGTATTTGTTCTCTCTCGTTTGTTTTCATCCACATGAAACAACGATTTGAATTGATTTTATTCTGAAAGATAATACTCTGAACGAAGTATATCAGAGTCATAACTGAAGAGCAATCAGGGCATGATCAATCAACCAGATCAACGTGTAAAAAGATGTTTGCGATTTTATCATTATGAATTGTTATCATTTAGAAAAGTGTTCACAGTTGGTATCCAACTAGGCGTTTGTTGTGTTGTGTTCTCCTCGGATCGGGATTGATGATGCAAATGTTTGTCCCCTTTTATCATATACCAAATCCCTTCACAATGACATTTTCTATGGTCACATTTTATCTCACTTGTAGCATCCGCTGTTGTTGTCCGCCTTGGTCCACGACCAATCTTGTGCAAGACAGACGAACTTGGTGAGATCTGTCTGGCGGCTGACTATACTGGCACTGGATATTGGGGTCTTCGTGGTCAGACTGGAGCGCATTTTCATGTGGAACCGTTAAACGAGGACGGGACTCCGGTACATTCGCCTGGCAGTGTCTCATACACTCGATCTGGATTTCTGGGGTTTCCTGGTCCGGCAACTTCAGTGAGTCATATTGTCACACATTTCCTTTCTCTCCTCGTGTGTGTGTGTGTGTATGTTCATCAAAATATCACTTGATTTCCCTCACACAGGGCGGTCTGATTTTTATCTGCGGCTCGGTGGACGGATTGATGACTGTGGCCGGTCGAAGACATAATGCCGATGATGTGATCGCCACCGTACTCGCAGTCAATCCGACAAAGATTGTCTATCGTGGTCGGTATGTTATCTGGTTGTGTTTGTTTGATTGGTTCTAAACAGATCTAATGATTAATCACATGTTGATCGATTCATTTGATGCTAGTCTGTCACTCGTTTCCCTAGCCGGTAATATTCACGTTCAGTTGTGTATTAGCAAGATTTCACTTTAATAACAACAATAATAATGTTTTCTTTTCGTGGAATTAAGCGTTTTGCAATTCTTACCCGGAAATCATCATCAGATATATCCAATGTACTCTCACTTCTCCGAGGCTACTGAAACTATTACTCATGGTGTTCATTTCGTTCGTGTTCAATGTTTCCAACCCTATAGTGTTGATGAGCATTGACATCTCGACAACCGTGTTTTGTGTGTGAGTCCTGACCATAGTACCACGTCCGTTTGTCAGGTTGTCGTGTTGTTGAAACTGCACAACAACATCGAACTTTCTGTTCGACACCGATCGATAGCGTCCCACCGTGCGAACATGTAATTATCGTGTCATCTATTTGGCTATCTGCG